TCTTGATTACCATCTAACTTGAATTCACAAAATTACAACATCAAACTTATAAGTTCATAATCAATCACTCACCTAGAAGCTCAAATCTTCCAAATTATGGTTGATTCTTGAGTTAATCTTCAAGATTTCCAAGCCTCTTCATCAAAGCTTCAATTGCCTTCACTCTCTCCCTCTAACCGACCCTCTCTCTCTCTCTCTCTAGAGTGATCTCAGCCAAAGGAGAAAAAATGAGCTCAAAACATTGCTCATAAATACAAATAGGCCACTTATATATGTTGGCCTAATCAATTATGATTTAAGCTAAGTAATTGAGCTTAATTAATCATTCTGAATCTAATTATTATGATCCGAATGCTTTTTCAATTAAATTTCACCATAGGCTCTAAAAATTATACCAATCACGATGACGTAGTCAATTTCGGTTTCTGTGGCCGATAAGGCCTTCAATTTAAATTCCAAAGCAGAGAATCAAACAGATTTTCCTACGGTGAACAGATAGAAATTCAAAACCACATATAATCATATAAATGGCAATCAAGATCATATTAAACACATAATCACAATCATATTTAAGATCAATTAGCATAATACGGAACAGGGTTATCACAATCTTCCCTCCTTTAGGAAGTTTGGTCCTCCAAACTTATTCTACCTTCGTCGGGAAACAAATGTGGATAGCCTAGTCACATTTCATCCTCATTTTCCCATGTAGCGTCCGTCCCATAGTGTTCTTTCCATTCCACGTTCACCATCGGGATGGACTTGCTTCTCAGTTGTTTCACTTCACGGTCACTGATTCGTTCTGGCCATTCTACGTATTTCATATTCTCATCAAGAGCTATCCTGTGATAATCAATCACATGAAGCAGGTCTCGGAGATAACCCCTCAACATCGACATGTGGAACACATTGTGCATCTGTTCAAATCCCGGTGGCAAAGCAACTCGATAGGCAACTGGACCAAGTCTTTCTAGAATTTGAAACGGCCCAATATACCGAGGCGACAATTTTTCTTTCTTACCGAATCTTACTTGGCCCTTCATGGGAGTCACGCGAATAAATACATGATCACTAACCTCATATTCAAGAGGTCTCCTTCGAACATCTGCATAATTCTTTTGTCGACTCTGAGCTGTTTTAAGCCTTTGTTGAATAATTTTGATCTTCTCAGAAGTGTCTTGTATAATCTCAGGCCCAAGTAAAGCCCTATCCTCGACTTCTATCCAACGAATTGGTGATCTACACCTTCTACTATATAGAGCCTCGTACGGTGCCATACCAATGCTGGAGTGGAAGCTGTTATTGTATGCAAATTCTGCTAGTGGCAAATAATCTTCCCAACTCCCTTGAAAATCCAAGGCACACATTCTTAGCATATCTTCCAAGGTCTGTATTGTCCGTTCTGATTGCCTGTCTGTCTGTGGGTAGAAGGCGGTACTAAACCTCAATTCTGTCCCCATAGCTTTTTGCAAACTTTTCCACAATCTAGACACAAATTTCGGGTCCCTATCCGAGACAATAGATACTGGAACTCCATGTAAACGAACAATCTCATCAACATATATAGTAGCCAGTCTATAAGCATCAAATGTAGTTCTGACAGGTAGAAGATGTGCAGATTTAGTCAATCTATCAACTATAACCCAGATAGAATCCATACCTCGAGGAGTTCAACGTAAACCAATAACAAAGTCCATAGTCACATGCTTCCACTTCCATTCAGGAATAGGGAGAGATTGAAGTAGACCGCCCAATTTCTGGTGTTCAGCTTTAACTTGCTGACACTAAAGGCACTTGGACACATACTCTGCAATTTCTTTCTTCATTTTGGGCCACCAATAGCTTTGCTTTAAAGCCTGATACATTTTGTTATTACCCGGATGCATAGCAAATACTGATTTATGGGCTTCATCTAGAATTCTCTTCTTCAACTCAGGAATGTTTGGAACACACAATCTATTTTGGAATTTCAACATCTCATTTACCACACTATATCCCAGTCTCGGATTCATTTCAAATTCATCAACTATCTTTTTAAGGAATTCATCTTCCCTCTGTTTCTGTTTAATTTCATCAATGATTGTCGGTTTGGTTGAAATGGTAGCCATCAATCCGCCCCGTTCCCACACTACCACTTCAATCTCAGATTTCTCAAAATCTTGCAAGATCTCTTTCTGTTTAGTGAGTAAACAAGCCAAACTCCCTATCGATTTCCTGCTCAAGGCATCAGCAACTGTATTGTCTTTCCTAAGGTGGTACTGAATCTCAAGGTCATAGTCCTTTATCAATTCGAGTCATCTTCTCTGTCGCATATTTAACTCTTTCTATGTAAAGAAGTACTTTAGACTTTTATGATCCATATAGATTTTGCATTTTTCCCTATACAAATAATGCCGCCAGATTTTTAAAGCGAATATGACTGCGGCCAATTCTAAATCATGTGTTGGGTAGTTCTTCTCGTGTGGCCTCAACTGCCGGGAGGTGTAGGCAATCACCTTTCCATTCTGCATTAATACGCAACCCAAGTCTTTATAAGATGCATCATTGAATATCACAAAGTTTTTCGTACCTGATGATAGTGTCAAAACTGGTGCAGTGGTCAATCTTGTTTTCAGCTCATGAAAGGCGGATTCTCTTTCATCATTCCACTCAAATGGTTGCCCTTTGCGTGTCAGTTGGGTAAGTGGCACAGCTATTTTTGAGAAGTCCTTCCCAAATCTTCTATAGTACCCGGCTAAACCCATGAAACTGCAGACTTCTATTACGCTTGTCGGTGTAGGCCAATTCACAATTGCCTCTATTTTCTATGGGTCCACTCAAATCCCCTCTTTGTTGATAACATGCCCTAAGAAAATAACTTCGTCCAACCAAAACTCACATTTCTTCAATTTAGAAAATAATTTCTTTTCTCTAAGTGTTTGCAAGACAGTTCTCAGGTGATGTTCATGTTCAAGTCTATTCTTTGAATATGTCAAGATATCATCAATGAATACCATAACAAAGTCATCAAGGTAGGTCTTAAAAATTCGGTTCATTAGGTCCATAAATGCTGCAGGAGCATTAGTTACCCCAAATGGCATAACAAGAAATTCATAAATGTTCGAAACGCAGTTTTCTCAACATCTTCTGCTTTCACCTTCAACTGGTGATACCTGGATCTCAAATCAATTTTAGAAAACACTTGTGATCCCTGTAACTGGTCAAACAAGTCATCAATACGAGGTAGGGGGTATTTATTCTTTATTGTCGCCTTGTTCAATTCTCGGTAGTCAATATACAAGCGTAAGGTCCCGTCTTTCTTTTTCACAAATAACACTGGTGCAACCCATGGCGAGGTACTAGGTCGAATAAACCCTTTGTCAAGTAGATCTTGCAATTGTTCTTTCAATTCTTTCATTTCAGTAGTAGCCATTCTGTAGGGAGTTTTGGAAATAGGCTGAGTGCCTGGCATAATTCACTACAAGAAAAAACACTTTTGGCGACCACCTCTTTTTTTTGGTCGCAAATAGTCCACTTTCTGCGACCAAAATTTAACTTTTGGCGACCACAATTTTTTGGTCGCGGAAAATCACCTTTTGGTGACCAAAAAAAAAAGTTGGTAGCGAAAAGTATACCTATTGGCGACCAAAGGCTTTTTTGGTCGCAGAAGATCACCTTTTGGCGACCAAAAAAAAAGTTTGTAGCGAAAAGTATACCTATTGGCGACCAAAGGCTTTTTTGGTCGCGGAAGATTACCCTTTGGCGACCAAAAAAAAAGCTGGTCGCGGAAAGCTATGGCGGGATAAATTTTTTAAAAAAATGATACTACAGTAATTACATGCTATTTTTCTATTTAGGCATTAAAAGTTTTATAAAATAATATATAACCCAATTTTTATGGGTTATATATATTTTTTGCCTAATATGAACAAGAAGCAAATTATTGGCAAAGTGGATTGGGTGCATGGTGACTCCTTGGTCAGGAGTTCAAGTCTCAGGCAGCACAAAAGAATTTTTTTTTTTTTGGGTCAAGGCGCTGACTTTTGGCGACCAACTTATCTTTGGTCGCTAAAAGTTTACTTTTGGCTAATATGAATTGGACTTTCTGCGACCAAAAAAGTTGGTCGCGAATGGTCACTTTTAGTGACCAAAGGCTTTTTTGGTCGCCGAAAACCATCTGTGATGAGGCTTTAGCGACCAACTCGCAACCAACATATTTTGGTCGCGAAAAGGTTTTAGCAACCAAATATGGTACTTTTCGCGACCGAATGTTGGTCACAGAAACTGTTTTTTCTTGTAGTGATTTCAATAGTAAACTCTATCTCCCTGCCTACTAATTCCCCTGGTAATTCATTTGGAAACACATCTGGAAATTCTCTAACAATAGGGATACTATTCAATTCAACACTCTCAGATGGTTCAGACAGCATACAACATAAATAACCCTGGCACCCTTTCCAAATCAATTTACATGCTTTCATTGCAGATATCAGATAAAGTGGAGGCACTACCCCATTACCTACAAATTCAAACTCATCATGCCCTGGCGGTTTAAACACAACTCGTTTTGTCATACAATTGATAGTGGCACAATATTTCGATAGCGAATCCATACCCAGAATTATATCAAAGTGTCGAATATCCAAGGGTAACAAATCTACATATAGGATAGTACTGCCAATTCGTACATCGCAAACACGATACAGAAAGGTGCATAACACAAATTCCCCAGATGGAGCAGATACACATAGCAAATATGGTAATGACTCTAGGGGTCTGGTCAATCTAGATGCAAATATAGTTGACACAAAGGAGTGTGTAGAGCTGGAATCAATTAATGCAAAAGCATCTTGATTACACACAGAGATAGTACCTGAGACAACGGCTTCGATATTCCATGTGTCACCTGGGACAAGCGTAAAGACTCTTCCCTGTCTCATTGTATCTTTGGTGGCAGCAGGCTTCGTAGTATTGCTTGGTTTTGGGATGGATCTAGTCAAACTAACAGCTGGTCTTCCATCTTATTGTTGTTTAGTTCGGTTGTAATCCCTTGCCATATGCCCCAGTTCTCCACATCTGTAGCACGCCCCATAAATACGGTAACAAACCCCACGATGCTTCTTACCACATTGAGTACATGTTGGTGCTGTATTTCGAGTGGAGTCCGAGGTGCTTGAAGACCCCGTGTTTTGTTTCTTTGATGTCTTCTTTCCCAAGAAAAAGCCTTGTCTTTTAACCTTCCAGTTGGCTGGAGGCTTACCTCGACTGGCCATGTTTGTTTCTGACATTAAGGCTCTGTCTAACACATCAACATAGGTGGGTAGTTTTAGTACGTTCACTCGTTCCCGAATGTCATTGCGAAGACCACTTTCAAACTTCCTTGCCTTTTTATAGTCGGTGTCCACCATGTGTGGGGCGAATCTAGCCAATTCAGTAAACAGGGATTCATATTCTGCCACGGTCATATTGCTTTGCCTTAACCCTTCAAATTCTGACACCTTTCTATCACAAACGCACTGAAGAAAGTATTTCTCATAAAAGAGTGCAAGGAGCTGTGTCCAATCAATGCCTTTGTTATTATCGCGGAGCAACATCCACCATCTTCTCGCTTCATCCTCTAATATGAAAGTAGCCAACTGTACTTTCTGTGTTTCCAGACATGGGAACACTTCAAATAATTTCTCAATGCCTAGGACCCAAGCTTCAGCCTTTAACGGATCCATACCCCCATGGAACAGTGGTGGTTTCATCTTCTTGAACTCCTTAGTAAGGGCTATTGTTCGGTCGTCATTTTGCACATCTAGTACAGGTTGCACTGGAGGTGCAGGTTGTGGGCGTTGCCACTGTTGTTGCCACTGCTGTTGTTGCCTCAATATTTCTGTCATTTCCTGAATCAATCTTTCCATCCTATCCATTCTGGCAGTAGAGGACTCTTCTATCTCATCACCTCTTGTTCTCACCATCTGACTAGACTTGCATCACACTTTATACAAAAGTTTCACAAGTATGCATATACTAAAGAGTATACATATTCACATAATTCGCAATGCAAGTAAATCACAAACATATAACACATAATCATTTATCTTGAAGCATTTAAGCATATTCCCAATGTTTATAACTTCTATTGCTCATCACATGAATGCAACTTAGATCTTTTCTAGACATTCTAGTGCTCTTTTGGACAAGTGTGTGAGTTATTACTCGTGCTCTGATACCACTCTGTCATAACCACAACCCGCCCCTATGGATTAGGGTCATAACCGGCCAGTAATCAAGGGATTACTTGCGGTCTCAAACTAAGTAAAACATATTTTATCAGAGTTAATGGGCCAAAACGGAAGCAAACTTATGAATTGTCCATAGAGCTATGCTTACATGGCTTAACCAACATTCTTATATACTCATAATAACTCACACCATAAGCATATTCACAAAAAGTATGTCATACATACATCCAGGATTATTCAGCCTGCGTTAACAAAAATTCAGATTCTATACATGGTCGATCAAGGTTGTATTACATGACCACAAAAAGGCTCCAAGAGTAATAAAACAAAAGCAAAGCCTCTGCATGAGGCGACTTAACCAACATTCTTATATACTCATAATAACTCACACCATAAGCATATTCACAAAAAGTATGTCATACATACATCCAGGATTATTCAGCCTGCGTTAACAAAAATTCAGATTCTATAAATGGTCGATCAAGGTTGTATTACATGACCACAAAAAGGCTCCAATAGTAATAAAACAAAAGCAAAGCCTCTGCATGAGGCGACTTGGATGACCTCACAAAACTTGGTTTCTCAACGCTCACTAGGACTGGGGTTGGACATCCCGCTACTCACCTACATACATATAAATATAGAGTGAGCTGATGCCCAGTGAATAATACCAGAGTAAAGAGGTTAATGAATGAGATTCGTTCATGAATAAGTCATACGTATAATTTAAACATTTGAACTACTAGTTCCACTTGTATCAAATGCATAGACAGAACGTACGGAACGACCTCGAGTTCAACATATCATATCCATGTACAAAACGACCTCAGGTCCATGTCATATCTAAGTACGAAATGACCTCAAGTCCATTGCACTCAAAACGACCTTGGGTCCATCTGTACAAAACGACCTTGGGTCCAATACTCATTCATAGACCAACTTTAGGCCTAATGAATCCATGTACCAAGGACCACTGGTCCTCCTTATCATATTACAAAACGACCTCGGGTCCGACATTCTTATATTCATAGTGATGCGCCTTTAATCACGGTCGCATCCGTATTCACTCTCAAAATGACCTTTGGTCCAATCAGTTCTTTATACAAAACGACATTTGGTCCAATCAGTTCTTTATACAAAACGACCTTTGGTCCATTTATCAATTATGCAAAACGGCCTTCGGTCCAATCTACATCTTTGTCAATTATATTAAACGGCCTTAGGCCCATTTTTCATTTTCACAACATTCATTTTACAGGTACGAACGAATAGAATACTCATTCATAGTACAATTCACAAATTTAGAAATTACCACTTTGGCAACATTTAGGAAGTAATGCGTATACAAAAATATCTTTACTAAAATATTACTCATAGTGATCCGGTGTTTGATTCGCCCTTGCACTCGACCCTACAAAATTCATAACACAATGGATCACAAGTTATTCAATCTGTTCTTAACTTATTATTTCTCTTAGGCTTCTTTCTTATCCCTTTAGGTCATATACAAAGCCCAATGCATGCCTAAGAGTGCTTAGAAATGAAAGAGAACAGAAAATGAAACACGAACATCTTTTCAAAATTTCTGAAACAGGGCTCCCCGATCGAGCGTGGTTTCTGCCGCTCGAGCGGACCCGCTAGGTCTGCAAAAGTACTGGTTGCCTCATTTTTAAGCTCGAGCGCGACTTCGAACGCTCGGGCTGGAAGTCAAACTACATGGCTTGGCGCTCAAGCGTAACTATCCCCGCTCGAGCGGACATCAATGTCTGCAAAAGTTCTGGGAGCCAACATTTCATGCTCAAGCGGCGCTTTTCCTACTCGAGCGGACATGCCGAATTCTGGAATTCCAAAATTGTTCTTGGAGTTCAAACTCAATTATTAAAGATTCAAAGCTCATGTTTTGGACACAAAAACATGGAAACATATTACATAACATGAGGACAACAACAATATGAGGTTAATTGCTCAAATTCATGGTCCCTCTTTTCCAAAATCATTTTGAATTCTCTTTATAATTCCCAAAACATGTGTACTTAACTTCATACCAATTCCATGTCTTCATCAATCATGCATGCAAGTCAATTCTTGACTCCAATTCTATTCCAAATGGTACAAATGACACTTACTATCATGAAACTCATGAAAATCATGCATGCATGTGAGACTTGGTGCTCAATTCTATTTGCTCTGCATAGTTCATGCTCAAACATGCAAATTCATAGCAAATCTATGCATGCATGTACATATAAGCTTTAATTCTTCAATTTCACCTCAATTTATGTTCTTGATTACCATCTAACTTGAATTCACAAAATTACAACATCAAACTTATAAGTTCATAATCAATCACTCACCTAGAAGCTCAAATCTTCCAAATTATGGTTAATTCTTGAGTTAATCTTCAAGATTTCCAAGCCTCTTCATCAAAGCTTCAATTTCCTTCACTCTCGCACTCTAACCCACCCTCTCTCTCTCTCTCTCTAGAGTGATCTCAGCCAAAGGAGAGGAATTGAGCTCAAAACATTGCTCAAAAATACAAATAGGCCACTTATATATGTTGGCCTAATCAATTATGATTTAAGCTAAGTAATTGAGCTTAATTAATCGTTCTGAATCTAATTATTATGATCCGAATACCTTTTCAATTAAATTTCACCATAGGCTCTAAAAATTATGCCAATCACGATGGCGTAGTCAATTTCGATTTCTGTGCCCAATAAGGCCTTCAATTTAAATTCCAAAACAAAGAATCAAACAGATTTTCCTACGGTGAACAGATAGAAATTCAAAACCACATATAATCATATAAATGGCACTCAAGATCATATTAAACACATAATCACAATCATATTTAAGATCAATTAGCATAATACGGATCAGGGTTATCACACCGTTCTAGGTCGTTCTTGTGTCCAAATTGAAGCCCCGGAAACAAGCTTTCCAATGGTTCTAGCCTCACACCCAAATTCAAAGTATGGAAAAAGAAAAGGACAAAAGAGTGATGGCTGCTTGTAGAAAAATTACCTAACTTAAAGTTTTTGGTCCAATCTTACTTTACCATCATGTTACCACTTCAATCAATGCCCCCAAAATAAAACAAGAGGGCTCCAAATACAATAATAAAAATGTCAAGAGCAAACCCACTATTCACAGAAGTTCAAACTCAACTAGCCAAACCACTCGAGTGCCTAATCTTGGGCTCAAGGGCGCAGACCAACAAAGCCGTCCGCCTGAGAGACCACTTCTATGCTCGAGCAGGAATTCACAACTCTCAGAATCTCGGACAGACTGCAAAAATACTGAGAGCCTCACAAGTCCGCTCGAGCGTCAACTCCCCCGCTCGAACGGAGGGAAAAATTCTGAATCGTTACAGAATTTACTGAGTAATTTTCTAAGAATTTACTGGGAATTTGCGTAGTAATTTACTGGGAATTTACTAAGAATTTACAGGCAATTTACTAATTAATTTACTTAGAATTTTCTGAGTAATTTACCAAGTAATTTATAGGGAATTTACTGAGAATTTACTGGGAATCTACTGGGTAATTTCCTGAATAATTTACAGGAAATGTATTGAGAATTTAATTGGAATTTATAGAGAATTTACTGGGAATTTTCTAAGTAATTTGCTGAGAATTTACAAAGTAATTTACTAAGAATTTAGTATGAATATACTGAGTAATTTACTAAGAATTTGCTGTGTAATTTAATGTGAAATTACTGGGAATTGAATTAGTAATTTACTAAGAATTTACCGAGTAATTTACTTAGAATTGAATGGGAATTTACTGAGAATTTACTTGGAATTTTATAAGTAATTTACTGGGAATTTACTCAGTAATTTACTGAGAATTTACTGAAAATTTACTGAAAATTTACTGAGAATTTATTGAATAAGTTACTGAGAATTTACTGAAAGTTTACTGTGTAATTTACTGAGAATATATTAGCAATTTACGAAGAATATCCTGGGAATTTACAGAAAAATTTTTGAGTAATTTACTGAGAATTTATTGAGAATTTGGAGGGAATTTACTAAGTAATTTACTTAGAATTTATGGAGTAATTTACTAAGAATTTACTTAGAATTTACGGAATGATTTACTGTGAATTTGCTGGGAATTTACTGAGTAATTTATTGAGAATTTACTGGGAATTTACTCAGTAATTTACTGAGAATTTACCAAGTAATTTACGGAGAATTTACTTGTAATTTATTGAGTAATTTACTAGAATTATTGAGCAATTTATAGGGAATTTCCTCAGAATTTACTCGGAATTTTCTGATAATTTACTAGGTAATTTACTTTGAATTTACTAGGAATTTTTTGAGTAATTTACTAAAAATTTACTAAAAAATCACTGAGTCATTTACTGAAAATTTGCTGAATAATTTACTGAGAATTTATTGGGAATTTATTGAGTGATTTACTAAGTAATTTACTGAGAATTTACTAGGAATTTACTTAGTAATTTACAGGGAATTTACTATGTAATTTATTAGGAATTTACTGAGAATTTATAGAGTAATTTACTGAGAATTTGCTTGGAGTTTACTAGGTAATTTACTCATAATTTAGGGAGAATTTTCGAAGTAATATATTGAGTAATTTGTAGAGAACTTACTGTGTAATTTATTTAGAATTTATTGGAAA